TGCCCCGGCTTGGGCGCGCCGGGGGAGGAGGAGGAGAAGAAGAACGGTGGTGGTGGTCCGGCCTCCCGGTGAGGGGAGAAGCAAGGGGGGAAGGAAGGGAGGTTGCCGCTGCGGAGACAGGCCTGCCCCTCGCTGAGGGGTCTCGAGCAGGGAAGGGGGGTCCTGAGGGGCCGGCTGGACACTGAGGGCCCGGGGAGGGGGAGCGCTGAGGGGGTGAGTGGGGCCTGAGGCACTGGGGAGCACTGAGGGGGTGAGTGGGGCCTGAGGCGCTAGGGAGGGGGAGCACTGAGGGGGTGAGTGGGCCCTGAGGTGTCGGGGAGAGGGAGAATTTAGGGGGTGAGTGGGGCCTGAGGTGCCGGGGAGAGGGAGCACTGAGGGGGTGAGTGGGGCCTGAGGGTGTGAGGAAGGGGAAGTATTGAGGGCCCAGTTTGGACCCTGAAGGCCCGGGGAGGGGTGGCCCTAAGGGGGTGAGTGGGCCCTGAGGAAGGGGGAGCATTGAGGGGCCTGGTGAGCCCTGAGGAGACTGGAGGGTGGGGGGGCTGAGGGGTTAGGTGGCCCTGAGGAGACTTAAGGGGGGGTGTCTCTCAGGCTCTGGCACAGCATTACCCTTGGACCAGGCTGTGAGGGGTTGGGGGGCCATGAGGAGGTGTGGGCCTGGGGCTGTCATGACCCCTGAGGGACTCCATTCCGGGTGTGTGTTGTGGCTTGGGGCTCAACCCTGCAGGCAGCCCCAAAGTCCAGCCCTGCCCTGAGGGTTCCTCTTCTGGGGGAGCTCTCAGGGGAAGGGGCTGCCTCAGCCTGCGCTGCTGGAGTGAGAACCTGGGCTGGGGGTGCTGAGTGGGGTTTTGCCTCCTTCTCCCCACAAAGCTGGGGGGACCAGCTGTGGTTGAGGCAGGGAGACAGAGCAGGGGCTGGGATGGGTGGGCAGCCTGGGTGAGGGCTGGGGGAGAGGGGAAGGTGCTGCTGCCACATCCCAATTATCCATAACTCTTCTTGCTCATTGCCTGTGTTTGGTGTTCGTAAAGCACCCGTAGCCCTGGCGTCTCCCCTGCATCTCCTGGTGTTTGCCTGCAGTCGCCGTCGGCTCTGGGTGCGGGTGTTGCTGATTCAGGATCTCTTGGCCCGTGGGAGTGGGCGCTGTGTGGCCAGCACAGTCGGAGAGCGGTTGCGCGGCCGCCCCGGCTCATGGAGACACGGCTCAGGGAAGAAGAGCTCATCTAATCTGCTCTGGCAGGGTTTCCTCCCTAGTGGCAGGATCAAAATCCTTCTAAATCGATAAAGAGTGGAAAGCATTGCTAGTGTAATGGGAATAACTTACAAGGAGAAGTGCTCTGAACACATCCCTAGGTGATTCTTCCTTTAGGGGAATTGTTTTTAAGAGGTTAGAGTTCTTCAGGTTGTTTGGTTTTTACTGAAAATGAAACTCGGGTCTTTAGAGGCTGGGTCATGAAGAGCATTGGGTTTTTTGTTTGTGATTTGAGTTATCTTGGGTGGCTGGTTCCCTGTTTTGAGTTCATGGTTCAGCTTTTCTGTGGCTGGAAGAGCATGCAGTTGTTGACACAAACGTGTGTGCAAATTTAATGCCAATGGAAAATAAAACCCCAAGTCAGTAATAGGGCATTGACTTCAGCAAAAACATCTATAATCAAAGAAAAACTGTTTACTCTTGCTTTAAAAGAGGAGCAATCCTTAGGAGCACGGGTTGCAGATGTACCTTTATAGGAAAAGAGCTGGTAGAAACCAGCCCAAGTCCTGGTGACCAGCGATTTGCTTCACAAATTTGTAGGTGAATTGGGAAGCTCAAAACTTAGGCTGTGGATGGACTCTTAATGTGCTCCAGTGCCAGCTGAGGGACACTGACAGGACAAAGTTCATCTGCATCCATGCCTGTTCCTTATCTAGTCTAATGACAGACACCTTCCTGCTCCTGAGTGATGTGCCAGCCTGTGAATTAGCTTAACAGTGCTGAAAGACTCAGATGACAGAGAGGTGATTGCAGGGGGAAGAAGATGCCAACCCTTCATGGCAACCAGGATTATTAGCAGAAATTCTCCCTTCCTGTGCCTTTGTATTTACGTGGTGAAGCCCCGAGCATGACTTGGGTTTTCTTGTCCCTGCTGTAATACAATACTCAAAGAGAACGTGTTGTTTTAAGGCATTTGCTGGGATTTTTTTTTATTTCTGCTCTAACTGTGGTTTACTGAATAGCTTTTTGATAACCAGTTAATGTGTGGTTATAGAAAGGAATTAGTAGAATAAACTGCTGTTTCCTTTCTCTAATGACCAGCTGTCCCCCTTAGTCCAGTAACACGTCTTTGTGCCTGCTCTGCCTTGCAGGCTGGTGGAATAGGTATTTTATTTTTACATCCACTGGGATTTTACCTGCAGCCAGACTATGACAAAGAGCAGAATGGTTGATGCCAGCACCAAACTGAAGCCATGTGAAATTGCAACAAGGGCCATGCAGCTGAATTTCCTACCTCTGACACCCTCATCAGACATGAGAGGTGTATCACCTGCTCTGTGGAAGATGTGTGTCATCTTGCAATTTAGAAAGTACTTTCCCTTTTAACGTGCATGTTTGCTGTACTTGGAAAACAGCAATTAAAGACTGAAATATGAGGAAATTGTAAATAACTGTTAATCCAGCTGTAACCCAGTAAGGTAGTTAAATCTGCACACCAGCAGCTTTCCTGCAGGGGGAAATGAATTGGAGGGGCTCACAGAACATACCAAGGACTTATTTTATGAAGAATTAAGAAACAAAACCTATTGATTTATACTTGGCAACTGTTAAGTAGCAAGAGTAAAAGTTGCTTTGTTTTATTATGCTCAGTGCTGTGTGTGAAGGCATGAAAATAATCTCCTGAGGCAGTTGGCTTTCAGGGTAAAGCTATTGAGCCTGCAGGCTTCAAAACTGTTTGATACCATCTGTTGTGTAAATGGAAGCTAATGGTCTTTTGCTGCTTTAAAAAAAAAATTAAATCTACAAGATACCTAAGTGTTTATTGCAAATTAATGGATTATTTTAAGATGCTGTTATGTATGGGAGGACATTCTGACTTGAATTACTGGCATTCCTGTGTGGACCCAGCTCTGAATCAATTTGTTCTGTATTTATTGGTGTGTTTCAAAGATACCTTTGTTGGTAACTCCTGACAAGGGTCAGCTTCTGTGTGGGTAGAGTTGAAACTTCAGGGCTCTTTGGTAAATTAAGCCTCAGATCAGCTGATGTTCCTGATGTGCTTTGGGATTCCTTTGGGTCAGTTATATTGAGATGGGAGAATGTGGTCTGAATACTTGGGCAGCGTGTTTATGAAATAACCTGAGTCTATTGTCTGAACTGCAGAGTGAATTGTATGAATACTTATTAGATAAAAAAATTAAATTAAAAACTGAAAATGTGCTGTAACTTTTTAAGCCACTTAGAGCCTGCAACACAGCTGTCCTTCTCTACAACTTGTTACAGGAGAAGGCTGTTACAAAAGCAGCATCATTTCATAAGAAGGCCGGCACAGTAAGGCAGTCAGGTGACTGTCTCTTGGGAGAATAATTAAATGGTTTGTGATGAAATGGAGGATAAGTAAACTTGGCTGGAGTCAGAGGTGGTACAATCAACTGATAAGAGCAAACTCGCCCTGCAAATGCTGTGTGTACGCGGCACAGCTTTTGGGTGCTGCCTACAGTAAAGCTGTTGTGTTGATTTCTAACTCTTATCTCTTTTTTTTTTTTTTCAGGCTGACCTAAACTGATTTTTTTTTCTAAACATCATGGGAGAGATTAAAGTCTCCCCTGACTATAACTGGTTCAGAAGCACAGTTCC